CTCACCTGCAACTTGACCTGTTCCTTCTGCTCCTCCGCCTGGCTCAGGAGGAAGCCTTCCACCAGGGCCACTGCCTGGGAGGTGGTCTCTGCTCCACACTCCCACACCCAGCTCTTCATCTTTAGGGGCAGAAGGGCCAGGAACTGCTCCAGAACAACCAGGTCCAGCATCTGCGCTTTTGTGTGCTTTTCTGGTCTCAACCATCGACTACACAAGTAATGAAGTTGGCTGCAAAGTCCTCGGGGATCTTCAGCATCCTGGTATTGGATGCTCCTGAAGTTCCAGGGCTGAACTTCTGAATGGATGGTTTCCTTCTCCAGGATCTCCTGCCCAGTTCTTGTCCAGATCTCCCTATAGCTCCCAGGCTGAACAGCAGAAGGGCCTTCTCCAGTCCCCTCACTTGCTAAAAGTTGTGTCTCCATTCTTTCTCTGTCCTATAATGCAACTCCAGATGGGTCTGAGGAATCTTGTGGATCTCCAAAGACCTTTTCATTCATTGGACTGTTCCTATAGCTGCAGGAATGACTACAACAGGCCATTCAGCTCTCTTTGTCCAAGGAATAATTTTTTTCTGTACATGATGTACAAATGATGTCCAGTTTATGATGGAAAAGAAAACAAATTCCAAGAATTAGAAAGTTGTGGATTTAACCATTGAACAACACTCATCCCACGGAAGGAAGCATTTTTCTGAGCTGGTATAGGATTGCATTGGCATGGAGCTGATTGGTCCTCTGTGCGTGCATGCGTGTGGTACAAAACATGAGACTGACTTCCATCAAGGACTTAGAATACCCAATAAATGTATTTTGAAGCATTTTCCATTTTTTTCTCACAAGGAAGGGCTTGCTTTTTAAAAACCTAGATCTACATTTCCCTACAGGGTTCATACAACATGCCAAACCCCAAATAGGTTAACAAACCATGAAAGTTCAGTTCACATAAAATGAAATGCCAATGAAATGACCCTGGCTTAGGATGTTCCATTTCCCTTTCTTCAGGGTTTGCTTTTTAAGAGCCAAGTCACACTATGACACTATGTCAGGTTCACACAACCTGCCCTAAGCCCAAAGAGGTCAACCAACCACATGGGCCGAGTTCACACAAAGCACAGGGCTTGCAAGAACATAATTTAAGATGATGTCCTGGTTCACTCACCCTCCTAAGACATGTTGAACTGCAGAGAATCCAACCCTATTTTAGCCCCATCCAGCACATGGCACAATCTCTGGCATCTCAACCTGCCCTAAGCCCAAAGAGGTCAACCAACCACATGGGCCGAGTTCACACAAAGCACAGGGCTTGCAAGAACATAATTTAAGATGATGTCCTGGTTCACTCACCCTCCTAAGACATGTTGAACTGCAGAGAATCCAACCCTATTTTAGCCCCATCCAGCACATGGCACAATCTCTGGCATCTCCTTCCTTACGAAGCTTTTCTTCTTTCCTGCTTGAGATTTGCAATGCACACTCTCCCTTTCCCCCAATTCAGAGGCTTTTCCCAGGAAATGGGGCGTGAAGGGCTCCCCCAGATTCCCGCCTCCTTCCTGGGGACCCTGGATTTGTTCCTGGGGGCAGCATGGCTGGTCTGGAGCTCTGATTTCCCCCCTGCCTGTTACATGCATGGAAAGAGGGGGGAAGGGAACATGGGATCCAGGCTCTCCCACTCCCAGGACTCAGAAGATTGATGAGGACTTGGCACGTGTCTCTTCCTTTTCCAGTGCAAGAACCCTCTGCCTCCCATTGCATGGGAAGAGGCCCCCCACTCACCCAGGGCCACATCTGGATCTCTTCCCTGCAAGGCTTTCCTGCAGCCTTTTTGCTGCCTGCAAAGCTCAAATGGTTAAAGTGAGAGAGTGCAGCGTCCTAGAGGGGCAAGACTTAGTGATGTCACTCCCCTCCCACCCTCCTCTGGAAAGCCACCTCTGGCATTCACCCTCCAATGTCCCAATGGTGAAACACATGGTGTTCCCTTTGCAGAGGGAGCCCCCTGGTGGTTTCTGTGTGTAATGCAGGTACTCACGCAAAGAAAGGAGAAAGGATGCATTTTCCATGAGGGGCTATGGGGGGCCAGGAGGAAGGAGGCTATTGTGTCCCCCCTGATCAGGAAGCCTTCTCAATCCAACTGCTTTCTACAACTTTAGATCGTCTCCAACCTTCCATTTTTAAGCAAGTTTCCGGAGAAGGTCCCGTCTCTGCATAGAGAGAGCAGAGGGAGCAAAGGAAGAAACAGGAAGGGAACTCAGCATTCTTCTTACTCAAGAGACTCAAAATAATCCTGGCTTGATTCTGCTTTCCAGAAAAGAGGTCAGAGGGAAACTCTGACAGGCTTCCCAGATTCTGTTCTTAATCCCACAACAATATCATAGAGCTCCAATGGGCATGGTGGTGTCCAATTCCTGACCTGGCTTGCCAGAAAGGGCCGACGCTCTGCAACTGCAGAGAGCCTTAGAGGAAGCAGATGATTTGGCTCCTTGGCAATCAGTTTCCGGCCAGGATACAGCATGGAAATTGCATTGTTGCACTTATAGATGGCTTATGGAGAGAGCAGGAGTGGGGGAGTGCAACCCTCTTTGATCTCTGAGTGGCTTTCAGTACCACTGACCATGGCCTTCTTCTGCTACATCTCTGTGGGAATGCACTGTTTTGCAATGGTTCTCCTTCCTGAAGTAGTGATGGTAGAAGAGAGATCTGTCCAGAGACATCTCGTAGACACCTGAATGTCTAACTAAAGAATGTGTTGCCTCTCTTGGTGAACTTAGATGACAATCTAAGGCACTCCCAGCTCGAAGAGTGTGATCCTCTACAATAGTTTTAGTAAAGTGAATGGTATTCTTTATTGCTGGTTTTGTGGGTCTTCTTGGCTATGTCAAGAGTCAGCAAACACAGATGCCCTTGAAGCCAATTTTCTAAGTAGAGAGCTTGATGGACTGTTAGCAGCGACATCCACAGTTGTGGTCAAAGAGGCAAGATGGCCATCAAGGCAGTGTGATCAATGCCCTAAAGCTTTGTAGATGAGCTGATGTTGGCAAACATACACTATAGTTGGGGCTTGGCTCTCCCAGGTGCCATCCTGCCTCTTTTAACCCCCTCCCTTTGGAAGCCACTGTTGGTTTTATATACATATAATTTTTATTAAAGAAATGTTTAAAAGAATAAAAATCATGCAAATTTTGAAAGAAAAAAGTAAGGAAAGGAAAGTAATAAGTAAGTGGAAAAAAAGGACAAAGAAAGAGAGAAGAGAAAGAAAAGAAAAAGTTATAAAGAAGTAGCTTCCAGTCTTCTTAACAGCAGTTAAAAATATATTGATATTTTACCCTGTCTAAGTTTACAACACAATTTCCTTCCTTCCATAGTCTACGTTTTCTAATCATCAAACCCATAATCACAAGTTCATTTTTTTTTTCTTTTTTCAGCAAAAAGTCCATAAGGGCTTTCCAGTCACTAATAAATGTAGTTATTGTCCTTTCTCTAATCAAACAAGTCAATTTTGAGATCCCTGCTAATTCTCAAGTGCCCTGCATTTGAAGGAAGATAATATGTTCCATAGGAATACATTAGTTCTAAATGAGAAATAGCTGAGTGGTTGGAATTCTTGTAACCCCCTTCCCTTTCATCTCAATAAATCTTGCTAAAGAGAACTCTCTGAGAATTCTGCATGGAAATTTGGTGTTCAGCAGCTGCATTCCCACCATCCATTCCTCCATTGTGGGTATGGATGTCTTTCCATTTTTGTGCATATAATAATCTTGCAGCAGTTATCATATATAAAAACAACCCGCTATAACTCTTTTCTAGCTGTCTATCCATTAGTCCCAATAAGAAAAGTTCTGGCTTCAACTGAATGTTAATCTTTAAAATCCTTTGTATCGCAGTATGTATTTGTACCCAACATTTTCTGGACCACCAGTTATGTCCCCCAGGCATGATAAAATGATCCTTCATGTTCATCACATTTTTAATGTAAATTTGAAGTACCTTCATACATTCTAGATAATTTTTCTGGAGTCATGTATCCAATGGTACATCATTTTATAAAAGTTCTCTTTTAAATTATAACATAATGTAAATTTCAGTCCTTTCCATGAGTATATTATATCCAAAGTTCTTAGCCCATTTTATCATACACTTTCATTTGATCCTTTTCTGTTTCAAATTTCAACAAAAGTTTATATATTTTAGCAATTACATGTTCATCATCATTTGTACATAGTTCAGTTTCAAATTCTGTCTTACGCTGTTCAATTCCAAATGTCCTATTATCTACCTTAAATCTTTCTCTTGACTATGCATCTGAAAACCATTGAAAACTAAATCACTCTGGTGTCAGCTGATCTCTTGACTGAGCCACTGTTAGTGAAAAAAACTGGTCAAATAAATTCCTACAAGAGTGACAGGCTCTTTGGCAGCTGCTGAACACCAAATTTCCATGGAGGATTCTCAGAGAGTTCTCTTTAACAAGATTTATTGAGATGAAAGGGAAGGGGGTTACAAGAATTCCAACCACTCAGCTATTTCTCATTTAGAACTAATGTATTCCTATGGGACATATTATGTTCCTTCAAATGCAGGGCACTTTTACAATTCTTCCAATATCATAATGGTGTTATGTCTCAAGTTTTTGCATTTGTTCTGGCTGTAAGCTGCTCCTTTGTGTTCAGATCTGGCCTTACAATAATAATGTAGCACTTGGGGATGAAGATGCAGCCCAGCAGCCCAGCACTGGAGGCCAAGATGGAAAAGACCTTCACGGCCTCCATGTACTTGCCCTTGGTGCTCAGGTAGGTGGGCACAAAGGAGACCCAGACACTGCAGAAGACCAGCATGCTGAAGGTGATCGGCTTGGCTTCATTGAAGGCACCAGGGAGGTTCCTGGCCAGGAAAGCCACCGTGAAGCAGATGCCAGCCAGGAAGCCCATGTAGCCCAGGGCTCCATAAAACATGGCAACAGACCCTTCATTGCATTGCAGGACGATCTCTCCAGGCTGGGAATGCAGGTCAGAGTCAGGGTAGGGGGGAGAGACTCCTAACCAGATGGAGCAAATGAGAGTTTGAATCCCAGAACAAGAAAGAACAAGGCAGTTGGCTAGAGTCTTCCCCAGCCATCTCCTCATGGTGTTGCCTGGCTTTGTGGCCAGGAAGGCCAACACCACTGTGATTGTCTTTGCTAAGCCCGAGGACACAGCAGTTGAGAAGACGATGCTGAAAACGGTTTGCCGGAGAAGGCAGGCGGCTTTCCTTGGCTGGCCCATGTAGAGGGAGGAGGTCTGGAAGGAGGACAACAGGGAGATGAGGAGGATGTAAGAAAGATCCCTGTTGTTGGCTTTGACTATAGGAGTTTCTTGGTGTTTACTGAAGATTCCTAAGACCAAGAGTGTGGCTAAAGAGAAGAAGAGGGCCAAGGAAGCCAGGATGATCCCCAGACGTTCTTCATAGGACAGAAAGGTTGTAATTTTGGGGATACATTGAACTCTTTCCTTGTTGGAGTGCTGATCTTCTGGACATCTGGTGCAGAACTCTGCATCTGTAAAAGATAAATGGAACATTTATCTTATTCATTGCAGCAATCTTTGTTTTTCACTGTGTAAGAGGAAAGCCGTGTTATCTACGGTGGCCAGACAATCAGAGTCTTGGACCTCCTTTTCTGACTATCAAATTTTATTAAAAGGCATCAGCTTTTGTGAGCTGCAGCTCTTCCTCAGATCGATACTGTGGCATTCTATGCATCTGATGAAGTGTGCTGCATATTCGGGACCCTTGCTGAGTAATGGTAAGTGACTGGCCTTCTCTGGGTAGGGAAGCCGAGCAAGATTAGACTTGATTAGTGCATCAATGGGAAACTATCTGTCCTGGAGCTGTAGGATTGACTCGGGAGTCAAAACCATGGGAAACCACTGCCATACTGTCACCAAGTGAAGTGCTTCAGTTGTGTCCATTCAGTCACCACCTTGACATATCTCAGAGGAGAGGGGAGGTGATCACGAGAGATTATGAAAGACGCGTGCAGGTGGTGAAGTTCCTAAACTCAGGATATGGATCAGAATTGGGTTATGGAGCATTCCTTGGTGGAAGACAGTTGAACTCGGAAGAGAAAGCTCAGGTTTAACTTTGCATGGAGGTTTTCATTTTGAGGACATTATCCCTAATATGTGTTTTTTTCTTTGCAATTTTGCATATGAGATATATATATAATTTTGAAGTAGTTTTCCTAAAATAGGCATTTTGTGCTGTGTTTCATCCATTTTTGCAAATAATTTCTTGACTAATCCACCCAGATAGCCATTCTTCTAAAAATATCCTTTAAACAAACCTTGCAAACTCATTGTAAAATTGAGTGCAGGGGGGATTTCCAAAACTGTATTTGCAGAACTAGGTAGATTCCCCTAAAATGGTGGACCACAATTCCTTCCAATCCTTACCACCAATCACTGACAGTATTTTTCCCTAGAAAAGTGTTTCAGTAGATTAAGATTTGGAGATTACATTCCAGTCCTGTTTCATGCTCTCAGAAAGGTTCTTGGTGGTGGATCGAAGAGATCAATTTGTCTTCAATTCATGACTTATCGGGACTTAGGAAGAGTCAGTCCAAAGATGTGTCTGTCCCACCCCACCCTCTGTATCTCAAAATGCCCCTCTTAAGTTCCCTAAGACCATTCCTTCTTATTCTCTCTGAGAACTTCATGGTGGAGATGAAGCAGGGAAGACTCAAATGGATCCAAATTTGGAAATCAGAGGAGCAGGTGCCAGTTGTGGCTGGGAGGACTTTTGCCCAACTCCATCTCACGAGCCAGTTATGATCATCCCTAGATGAGGAGACCTGCTCAGAGTCACTCTTGCCTTGCTCGCCTCTTGATTGGATTATCGCTACTCACTCTACATGGGTTTCCCTTGAAGGCATCTGGAAAGCACAGCTGGTCCAGAATCCTGCAGCTTGAATAATTAAGGATGCCCAAGTAACATTACTGCTATGAGAACTCCATGGGTTACCAGCTGCCTTCTGATGTAATTCAAGGTGTTGGTGGTCACCTCTGAAGTCCTCACAGGTCTTCCTTTCCCAGAAGGTTCAGCCTATCAGATAAGTTCTAGTTTCACCTTTGAAGGATTACCATATTCAGTGACCACATGAATTTAATAATACTTTATTAAATGTATATGCTGCAGAACTCCCAGCACCATCTATGGCTAGGTCAGCCCCAACCCTCTTGGGGTTCAGGAAAGACACCAAGACTTGGCTGTTCTGGGAAGCCTTTATGGATTGACAGTATAGCAGATCCCCTCCCTTTAGTAGGTGAGTGTTCTTTTGGAGCTGGGGGTTTAGTTTTTATTTCTTTTTAATTCTGTCTATTTTATTATTGTATTGTTGTAAGCCACTCAGAGTCTTTTTAAAGTTTTTATTTTATCTACTAAATATTGAAGGCCACCCAACTCCATTGTGATTCTGAGTGGCATACCATATTAAAACGATTCAAGAATACGAAGAAAAGAACAACAGGTGTCTGGAGATCCCCCCACCCCCGAGCTCTCAAAAGATCCCTTGAACATACAAGGAGTTGCACCACTCGAGCCCAAGGCCTGGGTGAAGGGCTAGCCTTAAGTGCTCTTTTGAACTAGGTCAGGGTGGGGGCCTAAGGAATCTTGTGATCTATGGGTTTGAAGATTAGAAAGGGTGGCTTATGGAAAGAAGGAAATTATGATGTGACTTTAGAGAGAGAGGCTAAAATATAAATTACCTATAACCACTGTCAAGAAGATCAACAGCTGCTTCTTTAGAAACTTTCTTTTTTCTTTTTTCTTTTTTCTTTCCTTTTTTCTTTTCTATTTCTTTTTCTATATTTCTTTTTTACTTTCTTATTCTTT